GTGGGGGTGGCTCAAGCAGTAGTATTAGCCTGTTGAATACAACTATCTTTTCTGAGAGCAGTGCTAAATGTAAAGATTGACTCATTTGTACTGACATTTACTTGGTTATGCATTGAGTGATTTACAAGTAACACAAAAGGAAGAACAATGTAGTGATTTATGCTACAGAAACACTCATTTACCAGTCTAGTAATGCTTCTCAGTGTCAAGTGTGTATGTAACAGCTTGCACAGAAATCTTGTTGTTTAAGAGACAGTAGCTACATTAATATTAGTCCTTGAATTACTCCTATGCATCAGTATTGAGGAATATTACAGGAAGAATAATTCTTCTATTCCAACTATTAACTGTAATTGATGTTTCAGAAAAGGTTTAGATGTGATATCTCCTCTGAAAGTTAATTTCAGACCACTGTTGAAATCACTGTAAAAACTATCCCATTGTACTGCTTGACAGTCTTTTCAATCCAGTAGTAACAAAATTTGGAATAAACAGTACACTAAAGATGATGATTAAATAAACCAGAAATCTTTACAGAAATCACTGGCAATCTGAATTCAACGTCTATATACAAAGTATTACTGTATTAAAAGAAGACTATTTTAGGAATAGTGCATTGATACAAGCAATAGAAATCCCAATTGCAGTGAAGTAGGAGCTATACTTTACAAACTTAAAGAGAAAGGAGACATGGCCCCAAATACTTTAAGTAATACTCAGCAAGCTTTAAAGAGTTACATTATCTGACAAACTAAAAGGTTTGGGTGTGCCTAACTAAGGCAAGGAAAAGAAGTAGCTGTTTAATTTGATCTTTCATTAGATTTGTAAGTTTGTTTTAAGGCAAACTTGTGGATAATGTATCCTACTCTTATGACAAGCACTAACAACGTGGGCAATAGCCTCTAACATGTCACATAACTTAGCCACCATGAGGAACAAAACTGATGCCCTGCACAGACATCAAGGAATACTATACTGTGAACAAAGGTTGTGTTGAGGCACTGCATTGTCTGTACAGAAACTGATTAAACCTGTTTCATCATTAAGACCTATTTACAGTAAATTCCACATTGCTCACCTGTGTCAGGAACATCCGTAGGTCTCATAATTCTCCGGATCTGCTCCATTGACTGGAGATCTGGAGACAGTCCTGTAAGTACAAGAAAACAAGTGACTTATTTACATGTTTTACCTGTAAAAAGGGTTCCACAGAACACACAGAGGTTCAAAGTCATACAGCATCCATTGTTTCCACTGTAATATAAACAAAAGACAGTTTGCTGTAAGACAATTAAGTTTCTGAACAGAAAGACAGAATAACAAAACTGAAATTAGCAAGGTGTTTTAATTGTTTTCATATCATCCTTTCAGCTACACAGCACAGAACTCTTCAGTATGTTCTCATAAACAGCTTACTAGGGAGAACCAGTGAAGGACAGCATTCCCATTATCTAACAATCAAACTGGATGCAGATGACCTTCTTTACAACCACCTTACTTTATAAAAGCTACACAAAAATCCCCTATTCAGCTTTAACAGTCCACATGCCAAAGCAGCCTGCAGATAAGCTACACCACTGTGTTTCAGTGTTTTAACACACATCAGCTGAGCAGCAGTCACTGGATGCTGTAAACAAATACTTGAACATACAACTGCACTAGATAAGGAGCACAGAGGTGGTAATCTACTACAGCTCAGTTGCTCAGTCATTTATAAAAAATATAGTACCTTGATTACTCAAAAAAACCCACATTTATCACAAAGACACAGCTGGTTTTGTATAGTTTTGCCACATTAATATGTAATTATAGCCAAAGCACGAGATTCCAAAGCCACCCTTTGAACAGTTTACATACATACTATAGAGCTTTTCTACTTGAGGCACACAGGCAGAGATTTCTAAAGTGAACCAGAAGTTTCTAAAGTGACTTAGGCCAAGATTACCTAATTAAGAAATTCACAAATTTGGAAACAGAGCATGAAGACCTCATTTGTCATGAAACATATTTCATATTAACAAGCCATATCCACTTGACTCAGTCCAGAACTTTAAATATGGCAGAAGAAAATCTATCACTGGAAAAGAATAACCACATAAAATAATTTCAGCTGACATCAGCGTTTGGACAGTACCAACGTACGTATTACAGGAACAATGACTCCAATGCATTTGATACAAAGACTTGAGGAACTTTTCTTAAGTATCAAGATTTTATATTATTTTTGTTGAAGCAGTGTTATGATAAAAGCCTTCTACCTTCATCAGCTTGTTAAAGCTGTCTTTACAGTATTACCTCGAGGTTGTGAAAGGTGGCAGAAAACCTACATTAAATAGAATATAAAAGTAATTTTGGTCAATTCTACTTACACAACAATACTAATATAAATTCAAGTAGATAATCAGCTTTTAAACTTTGACCAACCTACCTCTTTCCTTTCCCCAGAACTGATCTATTTGCATGCAGATTATACTAGCACAAAGGCATGTGGAGTCTACTCAGCACCACACCGTGAGATAGCAATGGACAATGTCAGTGAAGAACATAAAACCAGTTTGTGACCTTCTATGAGGTTACAGCTCGCACTATTTTAAGCTGCATTCAAAACATGAAATTCTTTAAAAGAAAAATGTTATTACAAACCATGTCTCAACTTCATAGCTGTTAATTTTGTGCTATTTTATAACACTGTAAAAGAGCAAACCTCCACAAAACTGCTTGCATATTTGTAGACCCCTTTGTAACCACCCAAGTGGTCTTCTTTTCCCAAGTATCCTCCTAACTCCACCTGCAACGAAATAGCTAATGTCTCAAATTCAGATCTCCAGACAAAAGTTGTACATGATCAGCATTAAATGAAGGAATTAAGAACGCAAACACAGGTCACTGAAGATCACTGTCAAGCTACTGCCACTACAGTGATTTCTGCAACCTACTGTGTACTGGAAGAAAACTGAAAACTACACAATTGAATTAAGTTGTCTTGTCACATAATGACAGAGAAAAGTTATCTTCTTTAAGTTTCAAGAGTACCCCCTACCTAAGGGGACACAGAAGGCGAACTGTCATTACTCCTGGCAGACTCATCAGATCCAGGCTCTAGATCTGCACCACTCCATGGTCAAGTAGAATTGGTAAAGTAAGAGTGATGGTTACCTATTTTTTTATAGTTTAATTCAGAAAAGTCCTCAGGTCTTCTTGGATATTACGTAATATTATCAAGTACACTTCACCTTCAATGAACATTACATTGTCATTAATGTCACAAGAAAAAAACAAATTCCAGAGCTTGGAAATATTACGTAAGCTGAGTAAGAAAGAAATATTATGCAAGCTGGAACATAGGAGGTTCAATCTGAATATGAGGAAAAACTTTTTTACTGTAAGGGCTACAGAGCACTGGAACAGGCTGCCCAGAGAGGTTGTGGAGTCTCCTTCTCTGGAGACATTCAAAACCTGTCTGGACACGTTCCTCTGCAGCCTAGTTTAGGTGATCCTGCTCTGGCAGGGGGGTTGGACTGGATGATCTTTCGAGGTCCCTTCCAACTCCTAATATTCTGTGATTCTGCGATACATAAATACAGTATTCTACGAAACCAATGTAACTCCCATCTCAGAGCTTAAATTCAATGTGATAAGACCAATGTGTTCCATCAACATGGCACTACAACATGGACTTAATTTATAGAAACTTGAAAGTAATTACATAAGGTCACCAAAGATTAGAACTAGAGAGTGGTGTCATAGGTAAGAGAATAACACTGTACAGAATACAAAGCAGAGCAACAGAGAGAAGTCAGGAATGGTTACAGAATAAACTTAAATGAAGCAAGATAAAGAGCAAAGACAGACTTAAGTTGAAAGAACAACTTTAAGAAAAAAGGCCAAAACATGAGCAATGTGGAAAGACAAGGAAGAGAGAGAGGGAAGCAACGGGAAAGACACAATAAAAGAACATTTTAGCAGCATCAACACTTGGAGATAGGGACAGCATGGGAGGTTTGATTTATATTGTGAGAGAGAATTCAGGACAGTAGATGCCTGGAAAAGTCTAGGTAAAACAGCTGACTCGAGATTTCAAGCTATTGTAGATAGCCTACTGGGGTAAGTTAGGTGCCTTTTATTTTACTATGTTATGCGGTTTTGCAAAGTTTTATTATATATCCCAGAGGACAATGTTTTTAAAATAAACTATGCAAAAATGCGCAATATAGTAAAAAAAGGCACCTACCTTTTATCTACATGCTAGCTGCAACCTCCAGCAGAGTTGGAACCCTTTGTGTTGCTGCCTCAGTGTTTATTACAGCAGTAACATCATGAAAAGGCGTTGACAGTCCATGACTTCATGGGATCTGGAAGGCAGTTCGGATAGGATTGGAGAAGAGCAGAAAAAAGGGTAAAACTTATTTATGTGCTTAATGTCCACTTTCATTTATTTGGAGCACACAGCACATTCAGTAATCTTTTCAGTTTATTTCACAGTCACCGATCAGTTGTGAGCAACGGTAATTTCAGTTACAGATAAAGCCTGTACTAGTTTAAGGGACAATTAGCATTCAATAGAGAAGTAAATATTGCTTTGCATAAGAGGATGCTTATAGCATACTATGCACAAAATATAAGTATTCCTACGTGATTAAACAATATATTTATAATAAAGCTTTAGATTTTTTTTTAATAGCTTTCTAGGCTTCTTGATCATAACTCAGGTCTCAAGTGCATATTTACTATCAGAAGCTATCATTTTTGTCATAGAACATAGCATTCTACTCTACCTGCTAAGCTTCCTTGATTAGCTTCTACCACCCAAGTCTAATTTTTTGCCTGAAACACTACAATATTTTGTCACCATTCTTTCTCTACTGTTTCCCAAATAAAACAACATTTTAAAAAGTATAATGATAGTAAAAGAATAATTCCTCTGCCAGCATTTTTGGAAACAAATTTATTACATGGTTTTAGACATTGATAATTGGCTACCTCTGTGCAGAAGCGATTATCACACATTCTTAAAATTGAGATTTAGCTCATAAGAGAGGTACCAGTTCTTGGGGCAAGAGAGGAATGAGGGAGAACCCACCACTCCACCACACTGAGAATGTGAAGAAAAGATGACATGCAAGAAAACAAGTACTTTCTCTAACATGTCAATGCTACCTGGAGACTGGTAGACTCTACTGTCTATCATTGCATTAAGTCTGTATTTAACGAGATACCTCAGAGCATATGATGCACAAGACTCTGACAGCTTTTACTAGCAGGCACTGAAGGCAGAAGCTTTCAATACAAGATGCCATGATCATATTTACAGAACATTGCAAGAGCTCTGCCTGTACAGAGAGATACCTGTAATTAATAAAGGCAGGACAGCAGCCATCAATACAACCTCACAAAGTCTGGAAGAATCTGCTCAGGAATTTTGAGCGCACACTACTTCTGATTTCAAATGGAGCTGTTCAGGCAAACAAGAGGTTTCTGCAGTGCTCTCACTTAAACTAATCTAATTATCTCACTGACAATGCAGGTGTGACACCTACCAGACCATCTCTGGATCACTCAGTACAAGGCATCAAGTTGCTTAGTAATGGAGGTAGTTGCAAAGACAGCTGCAAAAAGGCAGGATGGCCCTTATTACAAGTACTTTGAAACTACTGTCATTTTTTTTTACTTCTTGGGACTCTGCAAAGTCCTGAAAACCCAAAAAGCATAACTGCCTGGAAAAACATGGTGAGTCCCCTTCTATAAAGAACAAAGTCCAAGTAAGTTCCAAAATTCAGAGAAGTCACAGACCTCAGTCAGATCAACAGCAAATACTTTTTCCTCTATAAGAAAAGGGCAGCACTGGGAGAGATGTCCATGCATTTTCCAATAGCAAAGGTTTCATAGAGTCAGAGCAAGCCATGGCTGACCTGCTCTAATATTAATAAATGTCTTACTTCAAGCAGCAGGCTTGACTATGTAACCGCAGAGGTCCCTTCCACCAACATCTTATGAAACCAGCTATAGAGGCCAAGACTATAGAGCTGGGGTTACTTGCAAAAGTTCTTCTCTCACTTCACTGCTGGGATGCCAATGTTAGCAAAGGCTGCACTGAGAAATGGTAACAGCAATAATTCATCTGGCAAATTAGGCAAGAGTTCCAGCATTCAGTATCCTTCAGAGACACACACTGATAGGAATACTTATAGATGGACTTGCCCCTCAGGCAGAGGGCCATGTGTGTCAGGTAAGAATGTCTGCTGCCAGGTACACAGAAAAGCACAAGGCACAGTGAGCTTTACAGACAATATTAAGGTTAAATGTCTCCAACTAAATAGCAGATATGTATATCCACACTCCATTTGGTATAGCATTAACCCAAAAGATCAGTTTAGAGAGCCTTTAAAAGCAGTCATCAGCTTACCTCCATGACAACAGAAGATCTTCTCATCCACAATGGCTGCAATAGGCAGACAGTTGAAACAGTCTGTGAAGGTCTTCCACAGTTTAATGTTAAATCTTCGCTTGCCTACAAGAACAGTTTGGAACATTAGGAAGAGAAAGCTGTTTTCTTAAAGCCAATCTGTAATACATATCATAATCTGACCAAAAATGGCAGCAAACTGTCATCACGAGGCTTAATTCCTGTTAGTGCACTTAGGTTTCAATCTCCTGCAACAGCATTTCAAGGACAGCAGAAGAGCAAATAGTAATTCTCCAGAATGACTAACCTTGGTTTGAAAAGTACTTTTAGAAAGTTTCAAAGTCGATTCAAAGGATATTGAAATCCTTGCAGTACAAAAGTCACTACTAGAAGTGTCTCCAAAACAGTCTCTATAGCAGTCTTTCAAAATAAATAGGTTTTGCTTACATTCATCGTAGAATCCATAGATCCGATTGATGCTAGCACACTCATGATTTCCTCTTAAGAGAAAGAAGTTTTCCGGGTACTTGATTTTATATGCCAGTAATAGGCAAATTGTTTCCAGAGACTGTTTGCCTCTGTCTACATAATCGCCAAGGAAAAGATAATTAGCTTCTGGTGGGAATCCTCCATATTCAAATAATCGAAGCAAGTCTGTATACTGACCATGAATATCACCTGAGTAAGAAAATGTTTACCAAGGATTAGTGCAACAACATAAAAGAGTACACAAACTGAGAACGCAAGTCAGCTAATCACTTTTTTATTAATTGATATTAAAAAGTATTAATATTTCCTTTTTAAAGGGCTAGCAATAGGTATCAGAAAAGTGAGAACGATGTTAATATTACAAACTGAAATACTCACTAAATGTAAATAATTCATAGTATTTGTAGAGCCACTATGTCAGTTATGAAACCCATCTGAAAACCAAAAGCTACAGAAGTCTTCAGAATCAAGCTTAAGCTTTCTAACCAAGCTCTAATTCTAGTTCAAATTAAAACAAGGTCAGAAAGACAACCTCTAATTAAACAGTTACATGGCCAGCAAGCCAACGTACTGAGAAAACTTAAGATACATTACTTACTGCAAAAACAGACCAGTAAAGAATCTAGATAGACTGGAGAGAAACTGAACATTGTGCTGGCAGATAACACTTACTTCAAAGGTCAACTGCTTGTCCTCCCGTAACACTACTGTACTAAGTTTCCCATCACATAGCATTTAGGGAAACTTCTCCTTTGATACAATTATTCACATAAAAACAGGACAGAGACTTGAAGACTGGTATCTCTTACAAGATATGCAATCCTGCAGGTGTATCTTATAACAACTGGCACATTACTCATCACACTGCCACCTTTAAAATTAAGCTGGCTTTCCACGAAACAGCTGTGTAGCAATTACACCACCACAGTACATAGTATCAGACTAGCCAAAGCTATCTGTGAGCTGCCCCTAAGGTCAACAAAGATACCAAAGCTGCTATACCATAACTTGCAGAGTACCTATGATGTATTCCAGCTGACTGCATGTTACCAGAGTGACTGAATATAAAAAAGGTACGCAAGAAGCCTTTGGTACAAGCCGTATGTTGTTTAAATATAGTACCTCCAAGGTCCCTTACACTAAGCATTCCATAAATGCATTTTCACTTTTGCTGCTCACCTTTAAGCATAGCTATTCTCCAGTAGAGCATCAGCTTCCATGGCCTTAAAAAAGCAAAAAAAATATCCCCCCCCCATCTCAATACAACTTTTTCCATAATCTTAAAGGAAAAAGGTTTCCAAACCTGTATGCTCGCCAGTTCAATTATTAAAGCATACAGTGGTAGAAAGTACAATTACTGTTCTACTCTATATTTCAGAATCTCCAGGTCACAATCAGAACACCACACAGAAGACTACTTAACAAGTCACTGCTATGCTGAGTCTAGTACTCCAGAACTACACTATTAGTACACTCCCCAGACTTCACCACCACCAGAATTAACTACCAAGTACACATACTACAGAAAGAATTATAATTGTGTTTAATGTTAAGAACTACTTTCAGCTACACACACAAGCCAGAGGGACTAAAGCACTTAAAGGGTAAAGAAACATTTTACAGAAACAGTTTTGTAAAGGGACCAAAGCCTTTACTATTCCATTCAAGGCACTTGGCTTTTTAAAATACAGCTTCATATGGGCACAAGTTGAAGTCTATCAGATACACACCCTTACAGTAACAACCACAACTATTTTAAAATGGATGTTTACATAAGAGTATCTTTCATCTTACATTAAAACACATCCATTCAAAAAGTAAAAGATTTTGAACTGACATGATTACAAAACAAGACAACCTTACAATAGTTCCTCAGGCACTGCCTGAATACACTAAAATAGTGGTTCAAAGCAGTACAACTGCATATTTTGCTTTTGGTGAAGGTGATAATCTTGATTTCACTTTTATCTATGTACATCTTTGACAATTGCTCCAGTATTAAATTTAGATGCATCTGACACTTTCTGGTGCTATCATTGTGTTTGGAATCCGATTTAAAAATAAAATGCCTTATTTAACTGCGCATTTGTTATCCTATTCTTGTGCACCTAACAGTCCTTTCAACTGTCTTGATTTAAGCAAATGAGAAACTAACCTTGAAGAAGGCTAATTAAATTTACACACCTTGACTTACGTACAATCTAAATATTTTAGTTTTTATTTTTTCTTTATCTAGGAATATGAGACTACAGTTGTCTTTTCAATATAGCATAAACACAACATGGTAAAGCTGGATTTTACCTTCAACTTCATGTCATTAGGCAAGTTGGTCTGGTTTTTCCTCCCCACCCTACCAAGCAATTAGTCATTTAAAAATGACATTGCCATTAGTGTGCTTTTCTTTGCCTTTTATTCTTTTTTTTAATTGGCAATGTAAGAAAAATTGCTACATTTCTGTCAGGAGGAAGCCTAGGAAGAAGCTAATCTATCTTCGAGCATATTTGTAACAACAAATACAATGACTGGTTTAATTTTAACACTAACACTTTAACAAGTCTAATTCAAGAAATTTTATGCTTTCTAAGACTGTATCTGCTAATAATAACTTGAGGGATTATTATATAATTATATAGATATATTATATATAATAACTTGAAGGATGATCACTAGTATTTACAATAGTTCTGTAACAGTTTTTTACAAGCTCGCATATCTATTAACAATAACTTACTTTTGAAGAAGTCTAGCATTTTATAGAGGCTTTGAGAGGTAAAGAATACACAGGTTTTAGTTTCATCCATATCTGACAGTAATAATAATGGTTTCTAAAACTTGCTGTAAAGCTCAAGGAATTTATTATAAGGTAACTAAGACTAATTTAACAGTCTGCATGCAGTTTTATTTTTTCAATTGAAAGACTAACAATGCTTTATTCAACACTGGTTTTGAAGTGTTCTGTTTCACAACATGTAAAGTTCTTTGTTTTGCTTATGCTTTGAAGAGAGCAACTATAATATTAAACATTTGCTTTTTTCTTTTAAGCGGCTATCTGCTCTTTGAAATAGTGACCAAAAGAGAAGCCGCTCTGTACAAGCAGTCCCCAGGCAAGTAAAACAGACAGGCTGCAAAATCTGTACTAGACAAGGGCACAAGCAGCTCCTATTGCCAATGGAACTTGCTTCTAAATGGTACCGGAAGCATCAGCAATCTACCAACTGTCAGCTGCCTTTTCTCAACTTAATCCAATCTAAGTTGAAAATTACATTTAAGATTGTGAACACCTCACACTAATCCATATCACCCAAGTTAAGGTCACTTGCCTATCTCAGTATCCTTCCAACCCACCTCCCACACAACTAGATTAAAACACCTATATAAACCACATACATATGAAGTTTACATACCACAAATTTTTAGAGGTGCCTCTAGTTCCAGGAGAATAGGCTGACTAAGAAATATTTCCCGTGATTTTATGCACAAGCCCCGAACTTCTGCTTCGGTCATCTGAACAATCTTCCCAGGACGGCATCCTCGTACTGAAATGAGAAGTTTAACAATTGAAGGTAACTATCACACAGATACACAGCAATAGGTAAGTGCAGATAAGCTGCATTTGAAATCTTTATTTAACAAAAAGCCAGCAGCACACTCTAACATATCTATCAAATGTGTTGGAAACCTATAATCCAAAAATATCTAAAATTCATCTCTAATAGTGCCAGTAACCTATGCTTAAATGTCTGTATGTGTTCCTGTTAAATAAGGTTCTCAGAAGAGAACAATTTAAGCCTTGCTTTTGTCTACATTTGGATAAACAGCAACTTCAAAACGTGTTTAAATCAACAATCCCATTATGCTTAAGTATTCACAATAGGCAAAAAAATCCAGAGAATGGAAATCCTGAAAACATATTCACAATAGCATAAAATAAACTTCTTAAGGGCTGTTGAGTTCAACAGGGCTAGCTAAATACCAAAAAACCCCACCCCACAAGCATGTTTACACTTTACCCAGCTGAAATTGCAGTATTAGGAACATCACACTAAAAGCTATTAAAATTCGATGAAACCTTCACTCATATATAATAAATCTTGAGATATTGGAAGTTTTATGTCCAAACAAAGACATTCTAATTAGAATGAAATTGAATTCCTAAACCAGTAAGTCAGGTACTCAGATCTATATTTAGCACTAAGTTTTCAAAAGCATTCACATGTCATTGCACTTAAACCAACATCCTCTGGCAAGTTTATCTGCAGCTGCTTCTTTCCACATGTATCTACCCGATTCCTCTGTCAGAGGCTTTAATGTGTCTCTAATGAGGCAGCAAAACAGAACAAATGTGTCTGCATTTTGACTGATCCAGTTCAGTCCTGCAATTTAACATAAACCAAATTTCAGAGTTCAAACTAATAAACCAGAATGTATCGGTGTCTACAACAGGAGAACATATCGATCTGCCATCTGCTTTAGATGGAAGCAACATTCAGCATTAAACCACAGCAGTACCTACAAGAGAAGGTGGTATGAAACTTCAGCAGTTCAAATTCAAGTGTTTTCAAACTCAAATACATTAAGACATAACTTTGTAAAAGTTTCAGCTGCCACTTCAGAAAGTCTAGTAAGACAGATTTGCAAACAGAATAGCAAAAAATAGTTCTTCACACAGAGTTCCTGGCCTGCCTGCTTCCCCTCTCCAAAAAGGAGGTTAAGCTTGCAACTTTTTCTCTTTTTTAAATTAATATAACCTCCATTTTCCTTTACAAAGGATATCAGTATCATTACCTACATTGTAGAATAGGGGAAAAAAAGATATAAGGGGAAATGCTTTGTGGTAGGTCATCTAATACTACAGTCCAAAGTGTTAAGGCTCAAAAAGCTCAGCTTTGGTTATTGCCACATAGTTCTCCAAGTGTATCTGCACATCTGACCACTCCAACATTGAATTTTTGTTTTTAATAAACACCATACACACTTGTTAAACTGAGGTTAGGAAGCAGTCATGGGAACATGTGAAAAGGCAGAAATGAAGAATGGTTTTTCCTCAAGCAAAGAAGAGAAGATGTAAAACTAGATCCCAGGACAGCCAGCTTGAGTGCTAAAATAGCAGGAGAGCTGGTCTATCTGCAGCGAGGATACACTGGAAATACTTCTACTCATTAGAATCCCACAAGAACAAGACTGTGGCACACAGGGCTTCTTTCATTGAAACTCTGAATCAGTACCAGGTGAGACTTACTATATGGTAAGTCATATTCCCTTTGCTAATTAAGATTTCAACTATACTTGAGAAAGCAAACAGCTTTTTAGTAGTACTTTCTTGCTGCTATTCTTCATGCATTAAGATGTTGGCTTATATACTAAAAGAATACAAAGGCAGACATTAGACACAGTCAAGGTGACTAGAAAATAATAAATGCCTACAGGCTTCCATTTCATCACATCTCAAATGTCTACTAAGTGATGCACTTACAGATACATCTTCAGCCGCATGGGGATTATTAGCAAAAAAAAAATCTCAGGCTTGACAGCTCTGCACAGTACTTGACTTGCCAATTTGTAAGGTACTGAAATGCTCCAATTTCCACCTTTTCAAATGCTTGCATTCCAGTGGGTTAGAATGATCCCTTTCATAGGCCAGAAACTCATACTGATGGGGATAATAAACTGTCACTATACATAAGCAAGCTCCCACCTGAAGGAGTAGTCTTAATATCACAATGGCCATCATTTTACTGAAACAATAGTATTTCAAACCCATGGCTTATAACATCAAAGTCACAATGAAGCAGCATGCAGCACACCTACCTTTTCAGTCCTATTTTTCCTCTACAAACTGTGCATTCTTTAGCCCTGTTTTGATAAGCAATGAAATTCTTCTATTTAACTACTTCCATAAGGTTTTGCAACACCAGAATTAAGCCATATAATGTAGATTAATACCAAGAAGTGACATTACACACTATTTACATCCACTATAGTTGCGGAACTCAAACCCAGGAAAGCCCACCATATGCAACATTAATGTTAGCGTAATTAGCATCAAACCAAGCACAGAATCCAAAACTGAGACAGCAGTTGGAGGAGGACATTCATATTACTGTAAATAACTTTGATCCAATCATTTGATCCATATTTCTTAAAACACCAGCCTTTAGCTTCCTTTGAAACTCACAGCAAGTTTTAAACTTGAAACAACTGCTTTATAGGATTGTGACTTTAACTGTTGCTAGATTTTTTGCACTAAGACACAGTGAAAATGTAGCTCCTGACATCAAAATTAACTAATTGCCATACTCAATGCATCCAGTATCAAGACATTAGTTCTTTACTTTTTACAGTAGAGCCTGAAATGTTGCAAGCCCTTAACAGAAAAACCAACAAACAGGGCAGTAACTTATTATCACACTTTGGATTCTCCAGATAAGAGAAGTTTCTACAACTGTGGCAAGTATGCCTATCTCAGAAGATGAGACACACACCCAATGATTGTAGTTACTTCCAGCCCTCGGGAATCGGGGCCACCGCACCTTTGCAAAGGCAGCCTCCCCCCTCCGTCCGAACAGTCAGTAGCTCCGCATATCAAACATGCAAGCTCAGTTACATTTGAAGCAGTATAAAGCCCGGGGTTTCATGAGGAATAATTATCAATAATATAGTTAAGGGAAAAGAAGTTTTCTCCCATAATCTTCTGATCATCAAGAAAGGTACTACATACTGAAAAATGAGAAGCTACTATGACCCTGGAAGCCTTAGCACTTTACTGGATTCAAAAAAGCATCTGAAACAGCTGGGCCACAGCTGTAGTACAAGCACACAAGCAAGACAAAGCACATCTTTCACCAGCTTACACTATAACAAGAATTTTGTTCAGACTTCCTTGACTGAGGTGAGCACTGCACGGGCTGTAAACAAGAGCATCTCTCATCACATTTAGTTGTTCAAAAGCCAAATCCACAAGAATAGATTTAAGAGGAGGTTATGAGAATGAGATAAAGAGTGTAAGTGATGTTTTTCAGACTTACTTATAAATTACTATAGTTAACCATCGTCAAAACATGAAAGTCATAGCTGCATGCACTGTAAATTCTGCTAGCTCACAAAAAGCCTTTAACAGCATTGGGAAAATATTTTTTAGTGGTTGTCATTTACCCTGAGCAGAAACAGTATCTCAACATTACACATAAATTAATTCTCTTTAATGTAAGATGTAGATGCTGTAAACAAGCTTTGATTTACATAAAAGCCTTCGGTAGGGACAACAATTCCTGTTGTAATACACAATCCCACATGCACAGTGCTATGCCAAAACAAGCCTTTGCTGCAAGGAGCTTAAAGCAGAGTGACGTAGCAGGGAATAAAGAGAATTAAGAGCAACTATATGCATTGCACTGTCAGGCTATTGTTTTAGCATAATAGATCCTATAGTAATCCAAAAGCTGCTCTAATCAATATTAAAATAGTGTATGCATCTATACAGCCTTTAATAAGCAACCTTAGCAAGTCTACTAATAGCAATGTGTAATCAAAGACATAAGTTGCACAGTGGCAGGATACAAAAACTTCAGCAAAAAGAGTTTTTTTATTAATCCTTCCAAAACCATGCCAGAGAATAGCAGGCCACACTTGAAACTAAATAACACTAAAGGAAAGTGTTGGAAGTTCTATGAGCACCACTTTTCACCATACTATTTCATGAACTGGAGAAAATACATTTAACCTATTCTGTCACACTGTCTCTGCTGTGCCTCACACTCTAAGTTGCTCATTTAGTAGTATCACTAATGCAAGTTTCTTCAGTAACTAAATCAGCTGTGGTATGCACAGCTGTCCTAAGCATACATATATGTTCTACAGTACCACATGTGTCCTGTTTACTGGACAAACCACTCACGATTTTAGCATAACACTAAAACCCAGACAGAATTCTCCTAAGTCTCATATAAAGTTGGGCGAGTATTATTGCTATAAAGAGACTCCTTTTACTACACTCAGCTTTTTTTGCAGGCATATGCATTTGTGTGGCCACACAGTAACCCACAGCAGTGTACTTGATCGTTTCTTTCTAGAGCAAAGACAGAACAAAACAAGAATGTAATCTAGATAGTTCCCCAAGCTCGTGAATACATCCACTGGGAACTTGGGCTAGGACTAGAGAAGGAATAAGCAGCTGGCTCTGCTTATTTTCACAACAGCTTCAACCAAGCTTATTTCTGCAATTATGGCTTTAGAGATCTATTTTGCCAGAGTATATCTAAAAGCCCCCAAAATTACAAAACAAGACTGTAAGCATGCAATTTTACAAATTGCACACTAGCAATTCCCACAAGCTTACAATCCCTCTGACATTCTGTGGAATATTTAATGATTGGCGATTACCTACAACATTTAACTATTTATTTCTTATACTTAAGAGTATTTGATGACTCCCGAACAGCCTTTCAATAGTAGAAGCAGAATGAATTTGAAAGCCTAAGGTGCATTACCTATGACCTAGAAAAAAACCCAAACTGTTCTTACACTGATTTTGGAAACATGTTCTGAAGTTACCTGCT